AAGATCGCGAGCTCACGGGCCGGCTCGGGCAAAGCCCGTGTCCCCAAAATGGGGCTCGGCCCGAGCTTAGGCTCGGGTCTACCGAGCCCCGAGCCGAGCCGACTCGGGCTTTTTCCGAGCCGAGCCACGGGCGGCCCGAGCCGGCGAGCCCGATTGCCATCCCTGGGGGCATGCGACCAAAAAAAGATTTGCGGGCCCCCTGAATTGAGAGAGGTGCTGCAAACGGTGCACAGCACCGCCCATTGACCATGCACTATCGAGATCCACTATAAATTTTCTTATTCAGTACATTCATTCCCGCATATTTGGCTCTGTTCACAAGACCGTCCATTGACCATGCACTATCGAGATCCACTATATATTTTCTTATTAGGCAATCTCCAACCCTGCATCAAATTTTACACCATTTTGCACCAAACTTTACACTAAATCTTACACCAAACCAAAATTCTTCTCCAACCATTACACCAAAATTTACACTAAATGAACAGTGCTTTATTATTTTATTAATTCTTTCGATTTTTGACAATATATTTATTTTAAAATATTATTTATTTATTTATTTTATAACTATATATATTACTAAATCATAACTTCATTAAATTAACAAATATATTGATTACTATATTATCACATGTCATATATATTATGTTAAATTGACAAAAATAATTAATTATATTATTAATTTATGATAAACAATTACGTTAAATTTACAAAAATAATAAACTTTAATAATATAAACTTTACATTAAATTAAATTTTAAACGTAAACTTTACGAATTTAACTTTACGTTAAATTAACAATTACGTTAATTATTATTGATTATATTATTAAAAACAATAAACTTTAATAATATAATTAATAGTATAATTAATTAAGTAATTATTATTATTATCATCATTATCATTATCATTATCATTATTATTATAGAACGAAAATGACACAAATGCCCTTAATCATTATCTTTGAAAAAAGAAAAATAAGGGCAAAATGAACATTGCACCATTTGGTGCAAAATGGTGCAACATGAATAGTGTTGCACCATATTTGGTGCAACACTATTCATTACACCATTTTTTGCACCAAAATTTGGTGCAATGGTTGGAGGAAGTTTGTACCAAATTTTGGTGCAATTTGGTGCAATGGTGCAATGGTTGGAGATGCCCTAAGTACATTCATTCTCGCATATTTGGCTCTGTCTAGAAGAAGCACTATTAAGTAATTCTTTTTATTTAAAAAAAAAATTAACTTTCTTAAATGCTACTTCGTTTTAGAACTTGTAATTCAAAAACTACAGGGTTTTAGGTTTCAATATGGAAAAAACGTAGAATAGGCGTGGATGGCATTTAATGCAGAGACAAATCATGCATATTTTCCTGTTCTCTCGCAGGCCCAGCAGCTGAGAGTACCATAATATCCCCCAAAACCTAGAAAAATCGACAAACTTTGTTTCTATCTTTTTTGATGCATAAAAACATGCACTGTGCATAAAGATTTTATCAGTTTTGTCTGCCGATTGAGCCATGCAAAACTCACATTTTCTTCTTGTAGCTATTCAGCAGAATTCCTTTTGTTTAAAGGGTTTGACTCTAGCCTGCAAAATTTTTGCTTCCTCTTGAATCACTGATAGTCTGAGTTTATTGATCTTAGAGGGTTGACCATTTCCATTTTCAGCTAATTAATCTTGATAGCCATGCTATATTACGAGTCCGTGACATTACACAAGTTTCGAGCTGTATTAAGAAACAGTTGTAATTTGTTCAACTTAGAACAGGAAGAATTAGGACGTTCTTGACACTTTCTAATGTAGAAAATTCATGAAAAATATGGAATGGAAAGAAAATCAGGGAACGAGGCGTACTTGCCTTTCGAAAGGCATAACTCGCAGGCAGCGGAGAGTTTTGGCCACTTAAGCCTCGCTCCTGGCCAACTATCCGTTAGGCTAATTTCTAGTTCAAATCTTCGACGATTTTTGGTGTCTTTTCATTGTACCATGTTTAGATTCATTCGAAAGGTTTCTATCTATTGATGTTGTTAGATTAACAAGTCGGTCTAGCCTTGTGTTCCTTCAACTTTGAGAAGTGATCCGTAGCGAAGGCAAGGTAAAGGCATCATTAGACAAAGAAATATTTTGTTAAGAACACAAAACGTTAGCAAGGAGATTAGCCTTTTTCTTCCAAAATTCTCTAGAGGTTATAGGGGTACGAGGAACAAGACTTCCCAGGTTCATGGTACCGCAATTAGTCTCTTTCGTCGACTCCTATTTCTCTCTTTTCTTGTTAGTTAGGAAAAAGCCCAGAACTGAAACGAGAAACTATTATGGACATAAAAGAATCTCATGTGCGGAAGAGCCTAATCTGAATTCCATTTTGAAGGAAATACTAATGGAGAGGCTGAAAATCTCTAATCAAATGCAATACTCGTAATTATCAAAGACACTCGAAATTTTTTATTGTTCTTCGTGTTTTTAGGTTTTTCAATTTTCACTTGTTGATTAACTTTAAAAACTCGTCTAATCCTAGAAGCGATGTATTTCATAAATAATCTCAATTCTCAAGGATAAGAGGGGACAAACATAGTTTTATGACAGTGTTTTCATGTGTTCAAGTCTTGATTTTTTGCGGGTTTTCTTCATTCAATTGCTGTTTCTTCTTCATCTCCTCTTATTGTTTCCAACAAAAACTCATCTTGTTTAGGGTTAAGGAAAATCCGTCGAGCCCTAGACATACAAATGGTGAACAAATGCGTAAGACAGTATATATTGTAATGAAAATTAAATTTTTACTACTAAATAATTCCCAATAGTTCGAACACATTTTAATTATATATTTATTTCAGTCAACAAAATTGTTTATTTAAAAATATAATAAATCCCTTAAAATATGTAGCTCTTGTTTGAGCCCCATTCTTTTGGAAAAATTTATTTTTCAACAGTGTTTTGACATCATTTCAACTACACATTATTCAATAAAATAATATTACACGTAAATCCAAAACTTTTCCTTATTTTTTAATCATACATTTCCCATCAATACACTATTCAAAAATTCATTCTTCCCAAAAAAATGGGGCTCAAACAAGAGCGAAGTAAATAAAATTATTACAAACGTTTGACTTTCTAAATTATTGAAATTTAGCATTGAAAAGATTTTTCAAGTAAAAAATGATTTTTTTATTTTATTTTATGTTTTTCGAAGAATACGTGGATATAAATTTGGTTTAGATTAAAATTTCAAGATAAAATTAACTATTCATTTTAATCACGAATTTTATGAGATTCACAATTCAATCACACATTTTATCAACTTCATCGAAATGTATTAAAAAATTGATTTTAATCTATGCCAAACATGGGCTAAAAAAATTGAAAAAATTACAAGTTCTATATAATGTGCAGTTGAAAATAAATTTAGAAAACAAAAAAAAAAATGATTTTTGAAAAANTTAAGCCTCGCTCCTGGCCAACTATCCGTTAGGCTAATTTCTAGTTCAAATCTTCGACGATTTTTGGTGTCTTTTCATTGTACTATGTTTAGATTCATTCGAAAGGTTTCTATCTATTGATGTTGTTAGATTAGCAAGTCGGTCTAGCCTTGTGTTCCTTCAACTTTGAGAAGTGATCCGTAGCGAAGGCAAGGTAAAGGCATCATTAGACAAAGAAATATTTTGTTAAGAACACAAAACGTTAGCAAGGAGCTTAGCCTTTTTCTTCCAAAATTCTCTAGAGGTTATAGGAGTACGAGGAACAAGACTTCCCAGGCTCATGGTACCGCAATTAGTCTCTTTTGTCGACTCCTATTTCTCTCTTTTCTTGTTAGTTAGGAAAAAGCCCAGAACTGAAACGAGAAACTAATATGGACATAAAAGAATCTCATGTGCGGAAGAGCCTAATCTGAATTCCATTTTGAAGGAAATACTAATGGAGAGGCTGAAAATCTCTAATCAAATGCAATACTCATAATTATCAAAAACACTCGAAAATTTTTATTGTTCTTCGTGTTTTTAGGTTTTTCAATTTTCACTTGTTGATTAACTTTAAAAACTTGTCTAATCCTAGAAAATAATCTCAATTCTCAAGGATAAGAGGGGACAAACATAGTTTTATGATAGTGTTTTCATGTGTTCAAGTCTTGATTTTTTGCGGGTTTTCTTCATTCAATTGTTGTTTCCTCTTCGTCTCCTCTTATTGTTTCCAACAAAAACTCATCTTGTTTAGGGTTAAGGAAAATCCGTCGAGCCCTAGACATACAAATGGTGAACAAATGGGTAGGACAGTATATATTGTAATGAAAATTAAATTTTTACTACTAAATAATTCCCAATAGTTCGAACACATTTTAATTATATATTTCTTTCAGTCAAAAAAATTGTTTATTTAAAAATAGAATAAATCCCTTAAAATATGTAGCCCTGAGCCCCATTTTTTTGGAAAAATTCATTTTTCAACATTGTTTTGATATTATTTCAACTACACATTCTTCAATAAAATAATATTACACGCAAATTTAAAACTTTTCCTTATTTTTTAACCACACATTTCCTATCAATACACCATTCACAAATTCATTCTTCCCAAAAAAATGGGGCTCCAACAACGACGTAGTAAATAAAATTATTACAAACGTTTGACTTTCTAAATTATTGA